GGCCCCCACGGGCCGGATAGAATGGCCTGGCAGGCTGCATCTGGCCCCCGAGCTGCATTTTGCCCAGCCCTGGGCTACCTAGAAGCTGTCCTGCCTATGGGGCAGCTGGCAGTGAGCCCCTGGCTGGGCAGGGATTCTCTGGTCAGCATCTACACAAGCGCTACTGCACAGTTAATTTAGTACCTGTATTTACAGGTACTAGCTAACTGCGTGGTAGACTAATTTATAGCACAGTAGCTGCTGCACATGGTTACATGGTGGTGGTTTACTGCACAATAGATTAGTCTACTGTATAGTAAAGCATCTCATGTAGATACACCCAGGGTGAAATATGATGGCTGTGATAAGCATGAGATTGGATGATCTTATGGTCCCTTTTGGCCTTAATTTCTATGAAATAAAAAAAGAAAGGAAAACAAACAACACGGCATGCATTTCCATGTGTATTAGTCCTCATGCTCAAGACAGGAACTTTGGAAGACTGCATGATAGGCTCCCCTGATGACCTCTGCCATACAATATCCTTCCCATGTTTCCCCCCCACCTTTAAAAGCATTTGTTTATGGATATAACAGTTTTATGCTGAACCCTTTCTTAGATTGTATTACACGAATGTTTTTCAGTAGCAGACCTTAGCTAGCTCATGAAAAACAGTTGCTTCCATTGCTCCATGATATAGCCTTCACAGGCTGGAGTTCTCATTCTGAAAGAATGATGCTGTTTGTATAAACAACAAAGTATACACCCATTCTCAGTATGCAAGTCCAAAATAGTCTCTAAGCTGTTTCTATAGCTCTTGTCTAATTCCCTGAAATTAAGATGCAATGCAGGCATTATATTGTTGTAAATAAGTGAAAAAGGTCCTTCTTAAATATTAAATATATTAAATATTACAGGAAAAGAAGCAAATTTGGATGCTTGTAACTCTGTAAGTAATATTTTTACTTAAGGTTTATAGTGCATGGGCTAGAAAAGGAAAAACATGCTGCCGGGAATGCATATATTAGGATACATAAAATAACAAGACAACAAATCTGGTATTTCTCTTCCTTTAGATCCCAGTAAAGCAAGGCATATAAGCATGTAATGAACTTAAATAATTTGGGTCTGATCCATAGTTCACTAATGAGAATGGAAGTCTTTCTACTGACCTTGACAAGTTTTGAATGAGATTCAGGAATGATCCCATTTGCTTAAGGTGGACTTCTTCCACAGAAGACCCAGTGACTTGAAATTGACCTGTTGCACTAATTATCTCCATCAGTTGAGTCAGTGCAACAGTAAATATTTTTACAGTAATGAAGTAACTTTCTAAAATACCAACCTACATGGTATATTTCAGGAAGAAGTTAAAGTTATTCTGAATTCCTTTGCTGTTTGAGGCCTCAGGGCTAGATTTTTAAGGGTGTTTAGGCACCTGAAGAAGCAGAACAACTGCAACAAAGATTTTCAAAATTGCATATCTACATTTTTAAGCATTTAAATGTCTCAAGTACCTTGCTTTCTTTTAATATTAAACTCCATATGACAATAACTTGTTGTTGTCTCCCACCACAACAGAAGCTAGAAATATGAGTAAAGAGGCTGGTACATTAATAGTGTATGTGTTTCATCCTGTGTTGTAGTTGGAAACTTTTAAAATCTGTTTGAACTCTGTTAAAATTAATCATTTCATTATTTTCTTTACAAAATGTCTTTGTTAAAAGCAAATGGGAGAAAACATAAAGTCTTAAATGTTTTAAAGGTCAAGAATAGAAGTGAAATTATAGAAGACACTGAAACAAAAGCAACAAGGAGGCAGAGGAGGGTGGAGGACCCAGCAGAGCTGTCACAGCGAGAGCCATGTGTGGAGAGGTCAGTTTACTAGGAAATAGTTAATATTTCCTCAGAAGTCTATGCTTACAGTTTTAATACATTATGGGCCTCCCTTTAATTTCATTGCTATTTAATGCGCTGTGCTGTTTGGTTTCTATTTTCCCCCCAGAGTTAGCACTTTTCAGCAATGTTGTTTGCAGCAGGAGTGAGATAGTAAGAAGCTTTATGTATCCATGTGAGAGGAGTAAGCAGTCATAAGGTTCCTTTTTTTATACCTGGGGTTGCCTACCTTTGTCATGGGTAGTTTTTCAGAGAGAAGGGGCTGCTATCCACATCCTCCTGTGTAGGTGGATGTGGCTGTATAGAGACAAGGCTCTGCCCACAGCAGTGTACCAGCCAACAGAACTGAACCAACGCTAAAAGGAAAATCATTCTTCTCCAGGGATAAAGGCTGGTAGCAAGGGGCGAACTAGCAATCATGTTGTGTCTCTGAGTTCCAGTCTAATTGGTCTCCTGCAGCAGTGCAACTGCCTCTGACTAAAACGGTTATGCAGAAGGTGGGGTAGGATGGCACCTTAGGGTGCCTCTAGATGCGTAGTGAGGTGGCTCCAACGTGCTGCAATTACAGCACGTTGGAGCAGACTCAGTTAATTAAGTCTGCTGAAGCGTGGTAATTACTGCGCTCCAGCAGACTCCAGCATCACATGTATAACAGCTCATTTGAGCTTTAGTTAAAGCATCCTCACTGCCATTTTTCACTGTGGGGACACTGATACACATGATGCTCCAGGTACTTTAATTAGAGCAGCTGTCTCCCCCCCAGCCAGAGAACATGTATAAATGCCCTTTGAGACTAATTGGCTCAGAAAGGCATGAGCTTTCATAGGCAACAACTTACTTCATTAGATGGTAGAGATGGATAGCTCATGCTTTTTTAAACCAGTTTGCCTCTAAGGTAGGATTCCAGTTAATCACCCTACCTTAACTTCTGCCTGACTTGAGACTAACAGCACATGTCTACACATGCACTTTAATGTGCATTAGACTATTTTACATCTGCACATTAAAGCATCACATAAGCTGTGACATTAAAATAGTCTGCTGCACATTAAGCGTCACTAAAAAAGCATGCAAATGTGCTACTGTACGTTTAGATAGTCATTGATTAAAAGCAAGGAATAACCCAGAAGCAGGGACTAGAACCATGGTTTCCTCCTCCAAGGGTAGCACCCACAACACTGAAATAGATTAATACTCCATTTTGCGTCCTGTTCTTCTGGCCTCAGGACTCTGGCTATCTGTTGGGGCCCAGCTTCAGCATCACTGGACTGGACTTGGAGGATGTCTTCATCCAGCCTGTCCTAAAAGTTACCCAGATCTGCCATTCACCATGCAAGTGTCCAAACCACAATCTCTAATGGTGCTTCTACATTTTGCATTGAACAGTCCTTAATGAAAAGAATAGATATCAGTGATATAGCTTCTGCCCTACTGGGGCAGAGGTCAGGACCCAAAGCCCCCTCCCTTCTGGGGCAGTGCCATTTAACCAAGCTTTGCTTCCTCTGGCTGCCTCTGCTGTATACCCCGGTCCTATTTATCTTCCCTTCTTGGCTGCCCAGTGGGCCAGCTTCAACAGGAGGATGGGAGGGGTCTCTGAACAATGCCTATGCCTCAGCCTGGTGGTTAGAGCACTTTTGGAGCCCAGGTCTCCCACTCCCTGGCTGTGTCTACACAAGATATTTAGTACTTATGTAAACAAGTATTAAATGACTGTGCAGTAACTGCACAGTATTGCTTAGTCACCAAGGAATGGCTGTTTTGTGACACTGACTGCACAGTACCTTGTGACTACTGTGCAGTAGCATTACATTACACTTCCTGACACACGATGCTACTGCACAGTCAGTGATTATCTCATGTAAACATGGTCCCTGAGCAAGTGCCGTAACCACTAGGATTTTGGGCTATAAGATAGGAACAAAACCTCCTCTGCTGCATGTTTTTTTGTGACATAATCAGAGTTTTGCTTCTTCCCAAAAGGGCGAAGGATCTAAGATGGATGTTTGGGGTCCAAAATGCCACTCAGGTAGCTAAAGATAGCCAGGCTAGTGTTTCTTGCCCATCTAAAGATGGGATTGGTTTGGGGCATTCAAAAAGTCTTCTTTCAAAAACCCTACTTTTTATTCATATTTTTTCTAATATTTTGTTTTCCTAATCTTTCACTCACAGTTTTACTTGGCTTAGGAAAATTAACTCTTTTGAAGCACCAGGCCTATATAATACTAGTTGGAACTGTCTTCTCTTCACAGAAGAGAAAAGTAGCATTCACAGTAAAGTAGGGTTGGAAGGGACCTCAGGTCAGCTACTCCAAGCCTTTGCTCAGATCAGGATCAGCCAGTCTAAATCTTTCTAAACAAATATTTGCTTCTTGATATCCTCCTACTAATGCAAGGACAGGAAGTAATTTGTTAAAATATGCTCAAGAGATCCAAGGAGGGGGACCATGCCCACTGTTACAGAGGAAGGCCCCAAACCCTCATCCTTCACACTAATCTGACCATGGGGTGGAATTCCTTCCTGATCCCAGATGTGGTGATTGGTCTCTCTAACAGACTGTGTATTTTCAGGGAGCTTATAGCAGCCTGTATGCTTTCAGAGGCTGCAGGCAACAAGCAACTGATTTTAGGCTTGCAAGGAGGACTAGCCCAGCTGCAGGTAGCAAAACCCGATTATAGACTGTCTAGGGAACAGGACCAGCAGAGGCAGATAACTAGTTGGCATCTAGGCAGCTAAAAGGGAGAGACAGGGCTGTGGGCTGGATGCTGCGAGCTAGAAGCTGGAAGTTGGACAGCTGCAAGCAAGAGTGGAGTGTTGAGTAGGTTAGAGCCAGTGGGTCAGCTCATGGAGGAGCTGGGGGATCGTGCTAGGAGTTTCTCTCTCCTAGAGGACCATGAATGCAACAGAGAGACTGAGAGTGAACCTTCCTGTTACTGAAGAGACTGGAGGGACAAAGGAGAGAGTGGGCAGGCAGCAGCAGAACCATGCCTGAAGACTCTCTTTGGGTGTGGGAGAAGACCCTATCTGATACAAGCATTTGGTTTATGAACTGAGTTGTTACGTTGACTCCCAATGCGAGGGAATTTGCCCTGGAGGAATAAAGATAGTGGAAAAGACCGTAAGTGAACCTGAAAGACTGTATGTTTGAATGAGCAAATCCTCCAAACCCACTACAGTCTCAAACTAAGCAAAAGAGCAAAACCCTCTAGTTGGGAACCTCTGGGTTTTTTAAGTCCCAGAAGGAACATTGGCTGCCTACAGTCAAAATCCACAACTTTGACTGTGGCCAATGCCCAATGCTGTTGAGGAAGATGATAAAAAAACCCAAAAACAAACAATGCCTGACACTCACAGCAAATGGGGGGGGGGGAAAGTCCTTCCTGGCCCCATGTGGCAAAGAGCAAAGCCTAGAAGCCTGGGATAACCAGGTAGCCTTCCCTCTGCACTGCACCCTGGGGACTGCAAGCACAACTCCATGCATCCCATACCCTGACAGGAGAGCCAGAACTCCCTTTTCTATCATCCTCTTTCTTTCATAAACTTATCCAAGCTCCTTAATTTTTTTTTCATAACCAACTGGTTGTGGAACTCTGCTTCATCCTCCTGTTGCTGACTTTGATCCTCTTCCATTTCCACCTGCTCTGGACTGCAGAGTGCTTCACATGGCCTCTGAACAATTGTGTGTGTGTGTGTGTGTGTGCATCTTTTAGGCTTTCCATCTGCTGCTTTTCACAATGCTGTCCAGGCATTGCTGCTTCAAAATTGTCACTGTATGTAAATATAATTGTCCCTCATTAAATGTAGCTGGGCCACTCTCCCTGCTCCTTAAGCCAACCACCAGCTTCCAAATTAATTTCTCTGTGGCCATTTTAATAAAGTTCAGATGCAACATCATTTCTGTTAGAAAATGACCATGTGTGATGAGCTTTCCAGCATCTGTCTCCTAGATCAAATCTTCTAAGAACAGAACATTCTTACCACACATTAGATGCTGTATGCTTAGCTCTGTTTCTTTAGATGCCAGTCTGTAATATAAACTCCTTGCAAGACCAAGTGTAATTCAAAGTCTATAAAACCCCTATCTCAATTAAAGTCTGTGGGACTCTCAGACTCTTTTAGATTCAATCTGCCTAACAAAACTCAAAGATTAACTGCTAGGTCTATGGACAGAAGAACATTTGAAGCACTTCAAATTCCATTCCAGTTGGGAGCACTTTCAGATGCAAAGCATTTCAAATGCTGTACAGGTGTGTAATATCTTCCACATGTCACCCTGCCTGAGGACATCCGCAAAAACTACTTCACAGTTAGGGCGGCTAGGAGCTGGAACCAACTTCCAAGGGAAGTGGTGCTGGCCTCTACCCTGGGGGTCTTTAAGAAGAGGCTGGATGCCTACCTGGCTGGACACATTTGAGTCCCGTTTCTTGTTTTGGGGTTTTGTTGTTCTCCCACCCTGGCGGGGGGTCGGGCTAGAAGATCTACTAGGTCCCTTCCGACCCTAAATCTATGAAACTATGAAGACTTCAAAAATTGCTGTGGTGACATGTAGTAGTGGTGCTCTGCATAACAGGGCCACAATAGGGAGTTGTTCAGTCCTGCAGCTCTAATGCACTTGCCTTATCAGGAAAGGGAGGGGGAAAGCATGATGGACAGCTAATAAGTATTCTCGTGTGTGCTTGGCTGTCCTCAGGACCTTCTGGAGCTGATGGCATGCAAGAAATCCTCTTCAGTCCCCTCACTGGAGAGCAGGAATTTCTGCTTTACCTCTCAAGCTTTGGTCTCTTGAAGTGCTTCAAAACAGAACATCTGTCCAGGGCCTTAGTTTGCTGAAGAAATCCTAAAAGTTGGCTGTCACATCAGACATGGCTAGGAATTAAAGGTTGCTTCCAGACAAAACACTTGGTATTCTAATCCAAGCAAAAAAGCTGACAGGCAAATACAGATGATTTTATTAAAAGTGCAGGGTTGTTGCTTGTAGCTGTGTTGGTCTACGGACATAGGTAGGCAAGGTTCTTTTGGTAGATGTGATAGCTTTTATTAAACCAACTAAAATAGGTAGAAAAAAGTTATTTTCAAGCTTTCCAGCACAAACACCCTTCATCAGGCATAGGGAGACTCTGCAGCTGTTATGAGTTCTCTAAGAGGAAAAAGAAACTAAAATGTAACAAGAACTCTGTGAAAATTGTAAATGAGTGAAAGTTTGGAAGACAATGGGTAGAGATAGGCGGTGGGGGATGTGTGAAGGAATGCAAGTGAGAATTTAATTTTTTTTATTAAAAGTGAGAATTTTTAATGTCTCATAGCATAATTACCATTAAATCTGACCACAGTCTTCCCTTTTCCAGTGCCCATTCATGAAGCATTTCATTGGGAAAGAAAATGTTTCATTTGTTTTTTAAGAATTCTTCCTGGGGTGGTGGGGAGGTGGAGCTCGCAGTAGGGAAACTCTACAAGATCACTATGGAGCTGTGATGG